CTCCCTGTCGTAGCAAAAGGGTGGATGCTGTACGGAATTTTTCTTCCAGGAAGCGTGGACGGTAATATCCCGGGTCCGGGCAGACGCGCGCATTGGCCGGAAGGAGGAAAGAAAGGCCGGAGGACCGCTTCTACCTCATTTGCACTGGCACTAGCTCTGATGCGGACCTCGGTGATTAGAGCTCTGCTGAACCGTAAGCTGGACACTTGTCTGCCAACGCGGCAGCCAAAGATTTTTTTCTCAAATTGTATTAACACGTTTTAGCACGGTAACGCACTAAGCAGATAAGATTTCGGACCAGAAAAAATGTGACCATGAAGATGCCAATCTGTACGGAATTCTTCTATAAAACTTAAAATCTGTACTTAGAACTGCACGGCTAAGGCGATAGTTACAAACGAGGTTACAAACCACCCCCAGAAAATAACAATCGCAAGCAGCACAATGGGGTTTATCAGTAGATCTATAAGCTCACCTACTTGCACCTTTTCCCTCCAACCAGTGCATCTCTTCTTCGCGGCCCTGCCCCAGCTCCGGATATCCTCCCCTCCCCCTCCCTCGCTTCCCTTGTAATCTCCGAGATGGGATTCCGATTTACGCTTGTTAACCTGGCGAGAGAGAGCGAGAGAGAGCGAGAGCGAGAGCGAGAGAGAGAGAGAGAGAGAGAGAGAGAGAGAGAGAGATGGATAGAAAGAAGAAGAAAGAGCGAGAGGTGACGTGTATGAAAAATTCTTGCGTCGTCATACATTTTTTCCCCCTTGGTTGGCGCGGTCCCCTTCCTCGCGACTCCCCGTGACGGCGCCTCGGGTCCCCGCCCCGCGCAGTACGTCCGCTCCGCCGAGCTTGCCCTGCTGCCGTGAGGACGCCGGGGCCGTGAGGGGGGGGGGGGGGGGGGGGGGGGCGCACAGGTGGGCCCGACGGGCAGGTGGGGGGGGAGGGGGCGCCACATACCGACATGTGTGTGTGTAATGCGACAGCCCTTTGTGTGCTTTGGCGAATTAAAGCGGCAGTGGCCACACATGGCCGCATGGCAGAGCGGGGTCAATAGCAGTCCGCTGCAGTGCCGGGCCCGTGCCTGTGGCTGCACACGGCTTCGGCTCCAGCACATCACAGAGCGCGCCGCCATCTGTCCCGTCTGCAATATGTATCGTTTCGGTCCCCCGCGCGGCCCGACTGGGGGGGGGGGGGGGGTCCTATACACCCTGCCCGGGCACTGTTGCACTGTAAGCACCAGCTTCAGCTTCTCGACACGAGTACTGAGGAGAGAGAAACTAAGCAGGTCTTCGAAACTCATAATTTTAATTACATGGCCCTGTGATCACTTGCGAATTTTTGGTACGTTATTTTTTATCGTCGTACGCACTTTCTACTTATGATCAACAGAGTAAAAAAAATACCCCCCCCCCCCTCCCCGTGGTAAGTTTTAAGTCTGCGGAGGCTTGCGTTTAGTGCGCACACTAGGCGAGCTTGCCAGGTGCGCAC